CCTTCCTTCCTTCCTTCCTTCTCCCCCCCGCCCTGTTAGTTTGTCTAATGACAAAATCAGCTTCCTTCATATTAAGCTCCCCATTCCAGGAGGTATATGAGTGCAGTTCAGACAAGCTCATAGTAGGGATGTCAGAGGATCCAAATAACTAGAGGGAACTTGGGTCCCCAGCGTGACGTCTGTCTCTTGCAGATATCCAAGATCCATTTCCAAATATAAGCCCCAACTACGTGCCGGGCGCCTGGGCTCAGGCTCTGACCCCTTCTACCCTGAGCAAGGATTGGTTCTTTCAGAGACAGAATCCAGCTCCATCATTGGGGTTCTGGAGAAGAGAGGAAGGAAAGAAGGGCGGCAAGACAGGAGTGGGGTGTGGGCCCCACATACCTTCATCCATTCCTCAGCTTGCTCCCGGCTCTGCAGTGCGAGCACCAAGACCTCAGTGGCCCCCTGGGTGAAGCGCAGCTCATGCCTCTTGTGCCGGCTGTCCTTGGGCACGTAGATGACGCTGCAGGCATCCAGCGCCAACCTCAGATGTGGCTGACGGTCCTTGGAGCTTTTGTAACACTGGACAAGGAGAGAAAGGGTCAGGGCCTTCTGGAGTGGAAGGTAGAGCAGGAAGCTACCCTCATACAAAGTCTCCAGGGAAGTTTGACTTACCCCATAAAGACCTCCCCACCCAGCCCAACTGTGGGCACTGTGCAAGGACATGGAGATGCCAGCCAGGGATGTCACTGGGCATCTTCAGGCACAACTGTCTAGTAAGAAGAGATGGATTGCAGCATAATACCAGGAAGATCATTTGGGTCTTAAGAAATAGAGAAGAAATGGGCTGGCTTGGGAGGAAGCTACATGAAAGGGCTGTATGGCAGGAATTTGGAAAAGGGAATTCTAGCAGAGGCGGAGGGCTGGCCTTGGGAGGTCGATAGTTTATCAATAATGATTCTGACTCCTCCCTTCTTCTCATAAGGCCAGCATTACCTTGGTGGGAGAAACTGACAGTGACATTACAGAAAAGGAAGACCACAGGCTAATTAATCTTCTAACAGAAGCAAAAGCCCACAACAAAAGATGAGCAAATGGAATCTAGACACATAGAAAAGCACACTACATCAAGACCAAGTGCAGCTTTCCCTGGGAACACAGCATGGTTTCATATTCAAAAATCAACCACAAAATTCATCAAGTAAATAGAAAAAAGGAGAAAAATCACACATATCAATAGAATCAGAAAAAGGCATTTTATATAATTCAGTATCCATTTGTGATATAAACTCTTAGCAAGCCAAGAATAGAGGGGAGGGATCTTCCTTAACATGGTAATAAGGAACATTTACGAAATCCTGCAGGAAAGATAAACGTCAGTCTTAATGGTGAATTACTGGAGCTTCCTCTAGAGGTCTGGATGGAGTTAGGCCCAGCTCCCCCCACTCTGTTTATACCATGCTGGAGGCCCTGGCCTGGCCGGGAGTTGGGAACAGAGAAGGCACAGGCAGTGGAAATAGGTCGCCCTGACCCTTGTACTGGTGCTTGCCTGGGGTGAACTTTCATTGCCCCAGGGTGACAAAGGGATTGTTTCACATGCATCTGTGTTAAGCCAGTCTTGTCAGCAGAGTATTTTGGGGAGGAACTATTATTTTTTTTTCCTAAAATTTATGCTCATCCACCCATTTTGGAGTTAAAGATGTATTTTCTTTTATAGTGGTGTTCTATAACAACAGGTGCTGCAGGAGATAAGTTTTATGAGACAGAGGTGTGGAAATCAAGGTGTGGAAATATAGTAGTCATCTCTTGGTCTATGGGATCATGGGTATTTTTTTTTAAAATTACTTTTCATTGTGTTTTTCTCTAGTTTTATAAATAAACACATCAGCTTGTATACTGAAAAACAACAGATAATGCTTTAAAGTGATAAAAAAAATTCTTCTCTGGCAAAACAAAACAAAAACCTTGGTGAGCTTACCTCAGGTCTTTAAGGGGTGTGTGTGTGTGTGTGTGTGTGAATTTTGCTTATGTGGAGAACCATGATCTCAGAAGCACTGGGCTTTGAGCTGTGCATAAGGCCAGGCCAGTGGTCCTCAGGCAGAAACACGTGAGTCTGCCTAAAGGCACTCACCAAGAGCTGGTCCTCCTTGATGATGGTCAGCTGCTTGGCCCACTGTCCAAAGCGCTTTTTCCGCAGCAGGAAGGCACATATCCTGCAGTCCCTCACCAGGTGCATGGAGGCCTCCTCGGAGGGCCACTGGTGCCTAGGCTGTGGCCCCTTCCCTTCCTCCTCCTCCTCATCATAGGACTCGTAGGAGCTGCTCATGGCGTCCGAGTCATTGTCTGCAGGCACCACAGGAAAGAACCTGTCACTGTGCTGTCCTGGGGAAGCCCCCTGCTCGCCCCAACACCCTGAGACCATAGAGGAAACCCAGGGCATGGTGTTGGTGAGGACTAGAGGCCTGCCTCATGCAGTGCACTGTGTTTTGGATTTACCACTTGCTTTGTGATCTTGGTGACTTCACTGGGGGAGCCGCAGTGTCCTCATTTGTATGGGATCTCCATAAATAATAGTACTTATTTCGACCAGCCTCTTGAACACCAAGGCATGGAGAATGTTCAGCCAAGTGTTTGGCATCCAGTAAAAAGCTGTGATTACCCCATCACCTTTGCAGCCTTTGTCTCAGGTGATGCTCACACCAAATCCCCATCATGGATAAGGAAACTAGGCTCCCCTAAGATCAGTTACCAAGAGTCAGGGCAAAGGCAGGATTCTGGGTTCCAGATTCCTATTCCAGTGGCCTTTCCACTGAACCCTGGGGTCACAAGGGCTTTGGAGCATCTGTGGTGACCATGGCTGGGGTGAGAGGTGGGGCACATGAATGCCAGGGGCTGGCTCCTTGTGAGGGTGGAGCTGGTGTGAACTTACAGGAGTTCTTCAGTTCTCCGTTCATCCTGGCTGCAGGGTAGCTGCTGTCTGCATCCTCATAATAGCCGTCCACAATCGAGTGGGCTGGGCTGCATCCATCTGTGGGGTTGTCGAAAGAGCTGAGCATGGAGAAACACAGACAGACCCAGGAGTAGACCCAGGGGCACGGCTGGGAAGGCCCTAGATACCTTGCCCCTTGTCAGGAAATACAGAGTGGAGCTCAGGGCAGTCCCACACTGGGAGTGGGGACTTGTCTCTGCATCTTGTCTGCTCTGGTTCCCAACATACCCTGAGTGCCCCTGTCCCACGGAACTGCCCTGCCAGGCCTATGTTCATGCTATTTCCTGTGCCCTCTTCTACCAGAGAACTCCTCACATCCAAGACCCAGGTCCAAGATCTTTCCTCTGACCTTCCCAGTTGGCTTCTCCTCAGTGACTCAGAACATCAGTGTGTGAGAGAGCATTTTGGTGGCAGCTCTGGTCCTTGCACTGTGGGGAATGGTGCACCAGCTGCCAGGGCTTCGATCTGCCTCTATGTTCTGCACAGACCTCCTCTTCTCCCCTCAGACTTGCTATTCACTTCCTAACACATCTGCTCCCTCATCTTGGAAAGGCAATTTTCCTTCAAAACCTCTGGAAATACAAAGGAAGAACTGGACCACAGGAGCAAATAATAATGCTCACACGAGCATTAGAGTAATAGCAACAGCTATTGGAGCTGAATGGTTAGGGCACATCCTCCTTTGGGGCTGGGAGGTGGTACAGAGCAGCGCAGTGGTGAGCAGGGCACCTCAAGCTGTTCTACATCAGAATCACCTAGGGGTTGTTTTCCAGTGCAGATTCCGAGGGTTGCATCCCTAGAGTCTGGGAATCTCTGGAGTGAGTTGGGCTGAGGAATCTGCACTGGAAAAAAATTACTTGATAGGAAAATTCTAAAGATACATAAAATAGAAAATGTATCAAAGTCTAATGAATTGGAACAAATTTATTTATAAATTTATTTTTTAGAAATATATGAAGTTGGGCTAGGGCTATAGCTCAGTGGCAGAACACTTGCCCAGCATGTGTGAGGCATAGGGTTCGATCCTTAGCACCACATTAAAAAACAAAACAAAACAAAAACAAACAAACAAACAAAAAAACCAAATAAAATAAAAGTATGCTGTCCATCTACCACTACAAAGAAAAAAATATATATATATAGAGAGAGAGTCATTTTGATGTAAGTAGTCCCTGAGGCTCAGCTGGAAGTTCGGCTGGTGAAGGGTTTGGGCTCTGTCAGAATTGAGCTCCAATCCTATCTCTTCCATCTCCTGAGTGAGCCTGGAAAGAGTACAGCCTCCCTGCATTCCGATTCTTCACCCAGGAAGTGAACAGCTTCCCACTGTGGATTAATGATATCATGCATAAGCTCTGAGCACAGAGCGTGGCACACATTGGGTGCTGACAAATGCTAGCTATCATTATCGTTGTGTCCTTTGATTCTCAATGGGAGGGAGGTTCAGCCCCATTTTACAGATGGGGAAACAAGCCACACATGGCTGGCTGCTAGTGACAGAGCTTGGGTCAGAACTGAGGTTGCCAACTCAGGCGATGGAAGCACAGCCTCTCCTCCAGGAGGTCTTCCTCAGCCCAGTCCCACTCGCTCTCACACACACTGATCTTCAGAGCTCTGCTCTGGGTTCCCAGCCCCTCCTGTCCATCTGTTTCCTGAGGGCAGCAGCACTGAAGTTTCCCACATCTGGGACTCCCAGCTCTATCTCCCAAGAGGGGCTCGAGCTGCCTTTCGCAGCAGACAATCTGAGGCCTCAGATGCTGACCACACACTGGTGAGGTGGACTGGGGTTGTCAGGGCCAGAGCAGCAGGGGGAGCTGGGAGGGAAAGGTGTGTCAAAGAGGGACAGGACGAAGCACTGCAACACCTGGCAGGGCTGGACGCTGTGTGCCAGAGGAAGGATACTCCCTGATGGGCTTGGCATGAGCTCCCTGGACAAGGTCTCGGCCCTTCCTGAGGCCCTCCCTTCCCAGCTGCTCCCAGGAGGGTGCTTCTCTGCCCTGTCTGAAAGGGAAGTGAGCTTTCTGGGAAGATGCAGGAGTCTCATCTAGCTGAGGTGCTTGACCTGGGATTAGGGCCCAGCAGCACCTCTTCCCCCTCCTTCCTCCCCTGCCCTGGAGTCAGTGAGATAGGAAAAAAGTGCCTGTTTTACATCCAAACAACTGCTTGTAGAAACATGGAACTCGGGACAATCAAGGCTAAAGAGGGCAACAGATCATCTGGTGCAGACCTACCACAGTTACAAGGTAGAAACAACTCAAATGTTCATCAGTTGATAAACAGATATGCACAACATGGTGTAGATACACAGAATGTTATTCGGTCATAGAAAAGAACGAAATTCTGGTCTATGCTCCAACACTGATGAACCTTGGAAGCATTATGAGAAGTGAAAGAAGCCAGACAGAAAAGGTCATGTAGTATGTGATTCCATTTATACAACATATTCAGAATAGGCAAATCCACGCTGACAGAAGACTGGAGGTCCGCAGAGGCTGGGTGAAGGGGGCTGGGGACTGACTGGTTAACAGCAGTTTCCTTTGGGATGATGAAAATGTTTGGGAACTGGAGAGTAGTGATGGCTGTACGACACTGAGAGTATCAAATGCCACTGGTTGGACTTTTAAATAAAAATCGTGAAAATGCTCAACCTTGCATGTAGTTGACCTCAGTAAAAAATAAAATGCCCCATGACAAAAAGCCCAAGCAGTACAAAAGAACATGAGTGGAAGAGTATGTTTCCTTTGTTCAGATTTTTTTTTTTTCCTTTTTGAGACAGGGTCTGGCTATGTTTCCTAGGCTGGCCTTAAACTCCCAGGTTCAAGTGATCCTCCCTCCTCAGCCTCCTGAGTAGCTGGGATTAGGGTGTACACCACTATGCCCAGCTGAAATACATGTTCAAATATATATATATATATATAATTTATTTATTATTTTTCAGTGCTAGGGTTGGAACCTAGGCCTCAAGCATGCTAGGCAAGTGCTCTACCACTGAATTACATCCCCAACTCTCTCCCCAGATTTCAGATTTCATCTCACTCAGGAAAACCTCATTAATATTTCTTACGTAGCCTAGAAAAATTATTAGAATGCATGAATGTGTGTATATTCATTAGGAAAAAAAAAGCTAGACTCATATGTTATATGCAGTATTTTGTGTTTGATTTTCTTAAATGACTATATCTTGGAATTTGTTTTTGATCAGCACAGGCTTCTTTGATGTATGTATCCATGGTGTTTCTGGATGATGGGGTAGCATCCCACTAACATTATATACAAATTCAGCTCCACGTCATTCAAAAGCATAACATGGTTCCTTGTGTATAATTGTGTACAATGTTTTCAAGAAAGTGATAGCTTCTGATCCTCAAAGGAACACTATCCATTAACTCACTGGGGGGAGATCATGGAAGATCAAGGACTCTTCTTTGTGATAAATTTCAGAGATTTTCAAAGTTGATTTATTCTAGTGTCCTCTATATAATTTTACTGAGCACATCCAGCAGTAAAAATATGTAGATGGAATATTTATATATTTATTTATATAAGTTATATGTGTAATAAACTGTTCCAAGTATGTTCTTATTAGAGAATAAATGCTATATTCAGATAGAATTTTTAAAAACATGTGTTAAATTAAATATTAAATAATATAGCTTCTAAGATTTCTGCCAACACCATTGTATGAATCTCTGGGATGTGCACATTAGAGACCTATAAGACCATGTGTCCTACCTTTTTCTTTTTTCTCTTTTCTTTTTTCCAGTGCTGGGAACTGAATCCAGGCCTTGCACATGGAAGGCAAGCACTCTACCACTGAGCTACACTCCCCACATGCCCTATTTTACCTGTTATTAGCTTGATAACCTAACCCATCATAAGATGTGATTCTACTGAAATACAATTTTTTCATCCCCACTCCATCCCCAGACAGGAGCAGTTGGATTAGCATCAGTTTCAGGGCTCAGAACAGGTTGGTTTATGTTACCTCCTTCCTATGCATGTATGTGAGTATATTTTTGTTTTAGGAGTAGAGGAATAGAGGTCCAGAGAGGAGAAGTGGGTGGTCCAAGGCCACACAGAACTGAGACTAACCCAAGTCCCTGGCCCCTGGTCTGCACCCATCAGTCCACCCAGATTGGCACTGCAGAGGCCAGAAGCTCAGAGCAGCCTCTCCTCAAGAACCGGTGACATGGCTGGGCAGGCACTAGGCCTGGCACTCCAGCTCCTGCAGGACAAGGACACACTTAGAATTGGCTTCTCAGGAAGGAGAAGCCCTAACCCCAAAGGGACCAGAACTTACTGTGGGAGCTGATGTACTCAGGGGACTTGCCTGGTCCCAGAGGAAGGGCCTCCTCATAGTAGTCCTCAGGGGGAGGCTTGTTGGGCAGTGGCGGAGGCAGGTCTGCTGCCTGTGTGGGGACAAGAAGGTGTGTGAGATCAGATGGCTGCGGAGTAGAGAAGAGGGGAGCAGGAGGGAGCGAGGCTAGTGGAAGAGGATGCAGTAGCTCTTAGGAGGTAGGTAGACCCTGAATGGGAAGCCATAATTTTAATATAGTCACAGAGAAGGCAGAACTTAAGAGTGTATTTGTCCTGTGTTTCTCACCCCAAATTTTGAAGCATTAGAGCTTCTCTATAATGGCTGAAAGTTTTGTGGACTGCCAAACCCTGGTAGCTATACTTTTGCTTGAGCACATGCAGAATTACAAAGAACTACCATGAGTTCCCCAAACTCTGCCACCACATCCACATCCACATAAGAGGAGCAGCAGGACACATGCGCATGAGGCCTGTTATTTAGTGAACAGCTTAGGCTTTGTGCCAGGGGATTCCCCAGCTCTACAGCTAAGTTCTGTCACTTACTAATTGTGGGACATCAGGCGTATCACTTGCCCTCTCTGAACCTCTGTTTCCTTATCTGTATAAAGGGGGAATAGCAGTTGTACCAAGCTCACTAGTTGCTTTGAGCATGTGAAGGATACACTAAGTTGTCAACAACCATTGATGGTGAGGATAATCCACTATGGAGTTGACAGACAATGCTTGTCTCTAACTCTGTGACCCCCAAGTCTGGGAACCCTAGATCTGGTCCAATCTTTTATCTTGTGGGTGAAAAACTCAGGCTCTGAGAAGGGAAATGATTTGCCTAAGGGTACACAGAGACTCCCAACCCCTGGTCCACAGAATTTCCCATCACCTCTGTATGCAATCTGAGGTTGGCGTGGTGATGTGCTTCAGGCCTAAGGGGACAGACTAGCTCACCACATTCTCCCTGCTTAGCAGGACCACGGTGCGCATGCATGCGCTATTGAATGTATGAATGCTTATTTGTGCTATTTCTGCCCTTAACCACCACCTGGGAGAGAGAACAGAGTCTTGCACACAAAGAGGGCCCAACCATCAGCCGGGGGAGAACTTCCCTCATCCTCTCTAGAGGGGCACAGGGCTTGAGGGTGTGGGATCCATGACTCACATTTCTCAGAGATGGGCTCTTGGCTGGCTCAGGGCTGGTTCCTTTGCTGGGCTCCCCATCGTCCTCTGGCATGTCCCGAAGGTCACTCAGGTCACAGTCTACAGAGGATCAGGGCATTGGTCAAGGGAAAACCAAAGAGGGCTGGATTTGGGGTCTGGAGGTTTCCGAGTGAGGATTGGACTTCACATTGCCTCCACCACCTAGGTGGCTTAATCAATTGCTCTAGGACTCCTCCATGGTAACCTGGTCACCCCACCCCCTGCCTTGTCTGTCAAAAGGACCAAATCACATTCTTTGTAATGGTGCTTTGGAGGTTTCTGACAATTGTGTTACAAAGGCTTGGTGTTCTCTCTAGGTCCATATGTCCCCAGAGCTCCTGCATAGACTGTAGTTTTCTCCTTGTGGTGAGCACTGCTCTTTGCCCCCAGGATGGAGTTGGGCTGACACACAGCCTCCCACACACTGGCCAGCCTGCTCCCAGGACAGGCTCTGACCCAGCTCTCATTTTCTGCTTAGACACTGGACTGCTCAGCCAGGGACCCAGGAGGACAAGGCTGGCAGAGGCCGTGGAGGGAGAGAAACCCCTTCTGTACTGAACTCTTTGACTTATACTTTTCTTCCTATTGTTCCTCCAATCTCAGGAACATTTCTTATAACTGTAAATTCCAATTACATTTTCAGAGCTGGCAGAGCCCAGAAAACCCAAAGTGACTCCATGATGCAATGTTAGAGCCAGGCCCAGCCACCTGGGAGAGACGGTGTCAAAACCAAGGTTGAGAGAAGCACTTACCAAATTCTTCAAAGAGGGACTCCACAAAGCTGGGCCCCGAGTGGAGGTCAGCAGTGTTCACATATAGGTAGGAGACTTCCTTAGCTGGAAGGGAGGGGAGGACACTGGCAGTGAGGGGGGAAGGGATGAGTCCAACCCGCCCTGCGTGGACTCCTGTTCCACAGGAGCTCAGCACTCACTTTGCAAAGCACGTTCACATCCTGTCATTGTGCTGTTTTTCACACTTTGTTTTCATTTTTACTCTGTCACTGAGGATCTGTCTCTAAGTAAAAGGAGGCCCAGAAACCTAGTACAAATTATGGGGCTATTCTGGGAATGGTCAGGGGACGGGGTCCAGTGAGAACAGTAGGAAAAATGCTGCCCTTTTCTTCCTCCCAAGAGTCCTGTGAGGGTGGCAGGGATTGTCAACTCAGTTTTTTGGGAAACAAGGTTTGGAGTCACTCAGTGGTAACTTCCCACAGCATCCTTCAGATTCCCTGAGCGGGTATAGCCTGGAGTTCAGAGAGATGCATCATGCCATCAACTGACCTGGAGTGTGGAGGAAAAAGATAGAGCCGTTGGGCAGAGCGTGTTGCTGGGCAGATAATAATGGGCAGAGATGTGGGCTTAGGTGGGCACGAGCAGGGATGCAGCTCATGAGGATGAGTGTGTGCAGGACTGTATGCCTGTGCAGGAGGGTGTGAGGTGCACATGCTTGTGTGTTGGAGGTCTGTCTGGTGTAGCTCAGAGCATTACCTTTGTGTATGTGTGTGTGCTGTGTGCATGTGTGGTATAGGTAGCATGTGTTGTGGGTCATGTGTGGTGCATAGGAGTACACACCATGTGTGAGAGTGCTGTGTGAGTCCTGTGAGAGTATTATAGGTCATGAGTGGCAGGTATGTGGGTGCAATGTGTTCTTTTTTTAAAAAAAATTTAAAGTTTATTTCTTACATACATGACAATAGGTGGAATGCATTACAATCTTTATTATCCATTTACAGCATAATTTTTTGTAACTCTGCATATAAAGTGTGTTCATACCAAATTGTGCCATTATACATGAGCTCTCTTATTATTACTATTATTTTTTTGCATTACATTCTTAAAACACATACTACAGGGACTCAGCCACATCAATGTTTATAGCAGCACAATTCACAATAGCTAAACTGTGGAGCCAATCTAGATGTCCTTCAGTGGATGGATGCAATGTGTTCTTGAGTGTGAATGTGTGGAGGGCTGGGGATGGAGGAGGACAAAGAACACTGCCAGGACTGAGGTGGAAGAGCAGGCTCTAAGTGGACAAGAACATTAGACCAGAGCATGCTATTAGCAGAACCTGTGTGGTGAGCGGAACCTGTATGTGCACAGGCCCTGGGGAGTTACTGAAGGTCCTTGAGGAGGGTCAAGGGTGACACAGCTGTCTGTAGGGGAGTGGCTCGTCCGGGCTGACCTGGGAGAGGCTGTAGGCTCTGCAGGATGGAGGCCACGGCCATCTTCTTCTCCAGGGTGCTGTCACTTAGGTACTCATGGTCCAGGAGGCTAAGCAGACCAGTGAGCTCCGGGAGCAGCTGCTCCAGCACTGGGGAGAAAAGCCAGGGCCAGTCAGAGTTCCGCATGCAGGATCTGGCCCTCCCCACCAGCTGAAGCCCGGGCTGGAGGGGACAGAGAGCAGGGCCTGGTACACAAGGGAGAGGCAGGGCCCTCACACAGCTGTCCCAGTGCTGGCCACCATCCTCCCTTGGGGGGCCCTGCTCATGAGCCCCATGGCATTCCTCCAGGCCTCCTCACACTGCCTCAGACCTCAGATGACCTTGGCCAGAGGACTGTACCTCCCTGGGCTTACCCCAGCCACTCTGAACCCAGGCAGCCCTGGGCAGAGGTGCCCGGGCCTCCCTTTGTCCCAGTCTGCTCTCTGTTTGCGGGTCTAGGGGGGCTCAGTGCAGGGCTCGGCTGGATCCCCTGGCTATCCAGGATATAGGCAGGAAGGAGCCTTCCTGTCCCATCAGTTCATATGCTTCAATCTCTGGAACCTTCTGTTTCCGGCACTTTGGCCAGAGCCAAACTAAACATTAACCCTTCCTACCCCATGCCCAAAGCTATCATTGCCATTCTTCCCATGCTCAAACCAGCGCTTCTCCAACCTGAATGTGTTTAGGAACCACCTGGGAATCTTACCAAAATGCAAATTAATATTCAGGAGGTCTGGAGTGGGACCCGGTTGTCTGCATTTCTGACAAGTTCCCAGGTCTGTGACCAAAGTGAGTTGCAAGATGCTAGAGCACAGAATCCTTTAAAGACTGGAACATACTAAGATCATGATGTCATTGATGTCTTCCTGTCCCAAATAGTAACTTGGGACTTGATTTGTGTTAAGGCCAAAGGCCAGCTTCATCACAGTAGTAGTATTGTCCTGCTTTATGTCTTACCACAGACTTGTGCATTATGATAAAAGCTAACCTATATTGAACAATGCTGAGACCTTTATGCTTATTGTACCTTTTTAATCTCATATCAAGCATTTTTTTGTTTCCATCATATGGAGGATAACACTGAGCCTCAGAAACGTCTCCATGATTGCACAGCGACTAACCCTGGCTGGACGACTTCCCTCACTCTAGTATCTTCACCACAGAACTAACTATATTGCTGTGTGGTATTTTGTGAAAGTTCTGAGGTAGGTCTCAGGCTCACCCTTACTTTTTTAGATGAAGAAACTAAGCCACCTTAGACCTACCTCAGAACTTGCACAAAGGTGAGTAACTAGCTTAAAGTCACAGAGGCAAGCTGAAAGGACCAGGACTTGCACTCTGGCCATGATTCCCACGTGTTTCTCTCTACCCTGCATGCCCTGAGGAAGCAGAAGACTGATATGAACCTGTGGGATCTGGGACATGTACAAGAGGCTGTCACATCCTGCCTAAGAAAACCAGCCCTGGAGCCAGAGTGCCAAGTTCAAATTCAAATTGCATTATTCCTCGGCTCCGAGACCTTTGACAAGTTACTTCGCCTGCCAGTGACTCAGTTTTCTCCTCTGCGAAGGGAGGCTAACAACAGTACCTGCCTCATTCGGTGGCTGTGAGAATTTCTTCCGCCAAGCTCGTTGTGCCTGGGCCTGCTCAGAGCAGAAGCTCACCACAGTCAGCTGCTCCCTGCCTCTGCAGGCTTCATCTTGCTGACCTGTGCTGCGCAGGCCTCCGAGGGTCTGTCTCCCTTAGCAGGAGCTTAGCTCCAGAAGGTGTGGGCTGGACTATGATACTGCGTCTGCTCAGCACAGGTGCGCCAGGTGTGTTTGACAAGAGAAGGGATGTATAGATGTCCACTCTTGGATTTTCTTTTAAATGGAAATTGTCTGTAGAGATGGTGGCATTATTGGGAAAATGTGACATTGTTGTCTCTCTGCAGCAGTCCAGCTTCTCCTCAAATTAGTGGAACATGAGCTAAAGATGGGATTGGATGGGACAGCTCACTCAGGAGTGCTCCCCACTGGTAGGCACTTCCTGCCTCACCCCCAGGCACAGATGTGAACAGCTATTGGGATACACATTTTCCAGGACATGACGCCTGGGCTGAGGAGACCTAAGGGATGTTCCTCAGTTTCAGAGGGGTGGAGCCCGGCTGATTCCCAGGCTGTGCAATTCCTAGAGCCACTGAGTGCTACTGCTGCTGAACCCACAGCTGGGTGAAAGGAGCCTGGAGACCTGCTGTCCCCAGAGTGACAGAGAAGCAAGGGTTCTGGATGGATTGGGGAGGCCAAGAAGGGCTCCTCTTTAAAGCAGAAATTCATTTAAAATAATTTCAACCAAACTTGAGTTGGCTGAGAAAGAAAACTTTTCAGATAGAATCATGAACTTCTCTGGCATCCTTAGGGACACACTAAACATCAGTTAATGTAATTTCAAAGTATTTACTGAATGCTAAATATGTGTTAGGGGGCCACTTGGGGGTTAGGAAAAATAAACAAGATATTGTCCCAGTAGGCATCCTCTCTATTCAGTCTCTCTCTCTCTCTCTCTCTCTCTTTCTCTGCACGCACAGTCACAATTAGTGACTCACAGGGGACGTCCCAGAAAATGCAGTAAGGCAGGCACCAAGGGCAGAGAGCTGTCCAAGGCCTGCGGCTGTGGTTCTCATTTACAAGTTCCCAATCTGCTCTGCTGTCATGTGCCGGAGTCTGAGTTCAGGGTTGCTGGCAATTCGGCTCTACGCCAAGCATTCTGAAACCCTCTGGTGTCAGGATCCCTTTATACTTTTAGAAATTATGGAGTACCCCAAAGAACTTTTCTTTTGGGGGCATTTTATCTGCCAATATTGACTGCATCAACAATGAAACCTGAGACATTCTAGAACCACAAGAACACACTCTTGGAGTGGACACATCTTCCTATGTCCCCTCTGGAAATCTCCACTGCACACTCACAGAGAATGAGTGAGGCAGGCGTGTGACATCTTAGTACTATATAAAAGCACTTTTGACCTTGTGGACCCCTTGAAAGCATTTTGGGGATCCCTCAGGTATCCCCTATCCCAACACCTACCTTGAGAACTGCTGTGCTCAGTGAATGAACCCAGATTGCTCAGCTTATTGAGTTTCTTTCTTTCCTTCTTTTGCGTTACTGGGAATTGAACCCAGGGGCACTTCACCACTGAGCTACATCTCCAGCCCTTTTAAATTTTTTTTTAAATATATTCTTTTAGTTGTAGATGAACACTATATCTTTTTAAAATTTATTTTTATGTGGTTCTGAGGATTGAACCCAATTCCTCATATTTGCTAGGCAAGAGCTTTACCACTGAGCTACAACTCAAGTCTAGCCCTTGTGATTTTGAAACAGAGTCTTGCTAAGCTGCCCAGGCTGGCCTTGAAGTGGCAATCCTCCTGCCTCAGCCTCCTGACTAGCTGGGTTTACAGGCATGTGTCACCCTGCTTGGCAGCATTTTGGGTTTCTTTAAATCTCTTTTCTTCTTCCTCCCTGTCTTCCTTTTCCTCTCGTTTCTTTCCTTCTGAGGTTCCAACCCTTTCTTGCTGCTCCTAGCAAGTACCTGCATGTGGCAGTATTCCTGCTTCTAAGTGCTCTGCCTTACTGCTTCCAATACATACAGTAAACTTTGTTACTGTTGCTTCTAATAAGAACAATGCAGTTCCCCGTGAGTTCTCTGTATTTATCATATGAGCTTTAGTATCCAAGCTTCATAACAGCATTTTTTGTTTCCTTCCTGGTCTTTGATGGGATTCTTCACATGAGACTTTGACTTTTAAGTGCTTTTTATTTAACAGAGATGTGATCACTGGAGTCCAAACAGATTGGAAGAGAAGGAAGGGCCTGAGCCAGGGAGAAGCAGAGGAAGAGTGAAAGGCTGCCGCCTAGTCCTGGTGTTGGTTTCAACAGCTAAGATCTTAGCTCAGTGCAGCAGAGGCTGGCAGAGGTACTGCTGGGCTTCCTCTCCAAGTCCTCCCCCTTGTGACTTCACCAGGACTTCACCCTTGGTCAGGGTGTGACTTCACCAGGACTCTCAACTCTTTGACTGGGTACCCCTTCACCTGTGGGTGGGCAGTCCTCACCATGGTGTTGACTTTTCTCTCTTGCTCTCTCTCTCTCTCTCTCTCTCTCTCTCTCTCTCTCTTGTATCAGGGATTGAACCCAGGGTTGCTTAATCACAGAGCCACATCCCTAGCCCTTTTTCATACTTTATTAAAGACAGGATCTCTCTGAGTTGCTGAGGCTGGGTTTGAATTCGCAATCCTCCTGCCTCAGCCTCCAAGTCCAGCCTGACATTCCTTCTCTCTGGCTCTCTTCCTAATGAGCCTATTTGAATATCATAGCCCTGACTGTGAGGACCTCACAGAAGAAAAACAGGTTATTCAAAGAGAATACCAGACATAACAGGGGGATCTCACTCTATAGAAACTTCTGTATATCATGGATACCAGAAACCTTCAGCCAGCACCAGGCTTTTCTAGAACAGTGCAGAACTCACCCCAAGACAACCTTCAAGTGCAGCAAATATAGAAGCGCTTTCAATGAGAGCTTTGTTTTTAGTACTGGAGAATCCAACCACAGGGATTTAATCCATCAGAGAATTTAATTTGAGAGAAGTCATATGGGTATAATGCAAATGACAAATAATTCTGGCCAGGGCTCACACATACCACCAGGATAGCTGACTGGAATTTCAGAAAGACTGAATTTTCTAGGAGTTGTTGGTAACATCAGTTCCTGAACCTCCTATCCAGAGAGTGACCTGGTAGACTTAGGATCTGAAATCTACATTTTAATAAGCACTCCACCCAGGTGATTCCATTGTAACCAGTTCAAATTTCAAACTTTGCAAAATACTCCACCAAACATCCTACAGGGAGCATGTATGAAATTCAGGAATATGGTGAAAACCCATACTCCTTAAAAAAAAAAATCACTGGCTGACCCTTTTGAGATAACTGACAGTAGAGGGAATAAGAGCCCCAAGAGAAGATGGTAAATGGCTGGAATATGGAGTATTACTTTGATTAGGCACAGTTGTATGACTTTGGGGACAGATTCATGATGAGTGAGTACTAGGATTTCCTTTTTTGGGTGCCAGGGATCGAACACAGGGTCTCATGCATACAAACCAAGTACTCAACCTTGAGGTTATATCTCTACCCTAGAATTGGGATTCTTATACTGCCATTTCTGAGTTGAAGAGAGCTCTGGTTTTGTCTTATGTAAAATGAGAATAGTGAGATCCCAGCCTCAAGGGCAGGGAGGCCGAAGGTCTCTAGGCCTCTAGGCCCTTAGCATAACACTACATCTGGTACAAATACGCACTAAATGACAGCCATATTGCTTATTGTTGTTGTCACTTGCTACTTCCTGACACTTCCCAGAACCATGCAGATTCCAAAGTACTGATCAGATAGTATTTGGTGACAGATGTGTGATTGTTGTAATAAGCTCAGTGAGGACAGAGCCTGAATCTTGATCAGCACTTGGTAGATGCCCAGTGAACACTAATTCAATAGATATAATATTTTGATGACCTAGTCTAATCTTCATTTATTTATTTATTGGTATCAGGGATTGAACTTAGGGGCACTTGACCACTGAGCCACATCCCCAGTCCTTTTTTTTTTTTTTTATTTAGGAACAGGGTCTCACTAAGTTGCTGAAGGTCTTGCTTTAGCTGAGGCTAGATTTGAACTTGAGATCCTCCTATCTCAGCCTCCTGAGGCACTGAGATTATGGTGTGCACCACTGTGCTGGCTAATCCACTCATTTTAAAGATGTAAAAAATGAGGACCAAAGAAAGAGGTTACCTGACTTGACTGTGATCACATGACCACTCGAGAAAATAGTATCTAGTGCTAAATTCACACAAAACTTGATGCTCCAGTCATTGGAAGAGTGGCTAAGAACACAGGCCATGGACAATCAGGCTCCCCTCCCAGCTTGGTCATTTTTCAGCTGTGGGCCCCTGAGGAAATTTCTTAATTTTCCTAAGCTTCCAATTGATGTGCAGACAGTGGACATAATAACAGTAGCTGCTTCACAAGCTCATGGTGAAGATGAAATATGTGTTGTGCAAGGAGCTCATCACATGGCACAGCTGCTCTCTTCATTCCTATGTGACCTCCAGCGTGCAGTTTCAGGTGCACTGGTATGTACAGGTGGGGAATAGGCCAAGAGGACATCATGGATTGTACCAAATCTCCCCACCTGGATTGCCCATGGCTTTGGGCCCAAGGCAGAGCTCAGAATGGTTGTAGCAGGAGGCAGTGGCTCCCCTTTCCTCAGGGTGCTCCCATTTCAAGGATCCTTCCATGCCAGGTGAGGGGGCAACATTCTTTAGTTGGAGGGGCAGATATACAACCCAGAACTGTGCCCTTACCATCCCCAGTCAGGAAGACCTCATTCACCAGCTCCTAACCTGCCCTCTCCCATCTTTACTACTGGTCCAGGTCTTTTGTCCTATCTGGGGGCAGAGAGGGGGCATCAGGACATGCTGGCCTTTATGTCTAAAGTTCATTTAGAACCATAAGCAAATTTCATTCTTCTTATTTGGTTTATGTTAATATTGGAGTGGTATGGTGAATTCCAGGGATTAAAACAACAACAAGAAGGAGGAAATGAACTCATTATTGTTCATAGATTTTCAATATTTAAAGTGGGTCAGGCACAGAAATGCAAGATAGGGGATAGCCTCATTCTCTAGGCTGCAAAAACATTTCTCAAATATGATTATGACCTATTTAAAAATACATCTAAGATTAAACTAAGGAATGCTTATTGTTTTGGTGAGTACTACTAAAACTAAGATCAAATTTCTCTCTGCTCCTCCATCCGCCCGAGCACAATAAAATAAAAACAGGATTTTATGAAGAAGCCCTAAGCAACTTAGCAAGACTTGTCTCAAAATAAAAAATAAAAAAACCAGGCTGGGGATGTGGCTCAGTGGGTTCAATCCTTAGTATCAAAAAAAAAAAAAAAAAAAAAAAAGATGTTATACAGCAGAAATTTAGCCCCAAGATGAAAGTGCTGTCTCTGGCTCCCAGGATGCAGTGCAGCTGGAATGAAACCTTCAATCAAAAGACATTCATTGCAACCAGTAAGAGTGATCACACAGAAGCTCATAACTATTTAAAAATTTCAAAGGTTATGAGTCTAATTCCCAATACAAAAGACAAATTAAGAATTAAACTTCTGCCAGCCTCAGGTTGGGCTCATACAGGCTGGGCACCAGAGCTGAGCACCTTGACGCATGTCCTCATGCCCATGTACCTTTCACACTCTGGAACTGACAAAAATGCTTGGTGACAGTGTGGAAGTTACAACTTTGTTAAATTCAAAGCAGCATGGAGATATGCCATTTCCCTTTCCCCCACCTCACTGTTGGAGAAGCATCTTTCTAGAGGAGACAGAGACAACTCTATCCTTCTTTGTTTTCAGTCAGAGGAAATGCAGCTGGCCCAATTTTAAAATGGAAAATAAGAAGAGTTGTTGGACTGTGGTTTTATGAAAGGCCTACAATTTTTCTTTGAGTTTATTCAGATTTCCTTTCTTATTTCCATGCAGCAAAATAACCCAATTTACATCTCATAAAGGCTCCTGTTTGGAGAGAGAGAAACAGTGTTACTTTGAAAAATTTTGATTATGATTTTAGAGATAATTTTCTACATACTGTAATTTAACAAGCTGGCACAATAATAGCGTCTGATCCTTTAGAACTGCGGTGTGTGTGTGTGTGTGTGTGTGTGTTCCCCAAAGACTCCATATTGCTGAACTTGAATCCCTCCTCTGGGAATGGCTGCTGATTGATTCAGTGATTTATTTTGTCATTGATGAATTTTAATTCTAACACATAATTGGGAATAATGAGAAGTAACAGATATTGAGCAACCCCATCTACCTGAGTGTATATCCTGTTCCCCATTTTCTAGCTGTGGACACTGATAAATTGTCCTAGAATGGTGTCTGATACCTGGTAGGCACTCAAGAAATGTTATTTATATTTTTCTTCATTATTGTTCTGAGGCATATCCTACTTTAAGAGATTTACATGTGTTATTTATATCAATTAATTTGTACACCAAGGTGAGACAGCCCATTTTACAGGTGTGGGATCTGAGCACTGCAGAACAGGAGGGGCAGTTATGATGTCTCCTCCAGTTTCCCTCCAACATGCTGCTTCTGTCAGTGCCCAATTCAGGGTTCATTCTGCAGAGGCAGCAGCTCCACAGTAAGGCAGGTAGCAGTGCCTATTCTACTCATTGGCTCGGAAATCTGTCTTTCCCTGGCCCTTCTCTTCCAAGTTGCTGCAAGTCTACCCAGCTGGAAACACAGGGATGTCTCACTTCCTTCCTCTGAATTTACAAGAACTCTTCTTTGCATCCAAGGGAAGACCAGATAGCAGGCAGAACGTTGGAGGGGACTGCACTGGTTGGAACCCCACTGTTTATCACCCAAATACTTCCTGTTGTCCCAATGTGGATGGGGAAGATCATGGTGCATGCAGGATGGAAAAGAGTCAAAGCAAGCCCAGCTGCATACCCAGGACCTGGTGCTCAGTGCTTCCCAGGAGTTAAATATAGCCCCTATGAGAGGGAGGGCAAGGGGTGGTGAGGTCACCTTGGAAGGCTTTTGTGTGTGTTAATGAGAGCTATTGCAGGAAACTGAATATCCTTTTATGCTGAAAAGAATAGTAGGAGTTTGATTCCCCAGGATAGAAACAGAAACATCGTAAGGAAGGGAGGTGGGAAGGACTAGTGGGAAGAATCTGGGTTCTAGCTCCTCCCCTTACTAGTGTGCCACTCTAAGTCAGTTCCTTAACCACTCTGACCACCATCTTCCTCTTCATAAGAAGAGGCTTAGAAAACCCCTGCATGAGGGGGAAATGAGGAATGGCTGGGGGAGGGTTTGCACACCCAGGGCTTATTATTAGGGGTGGCAGACTCGCACAGTTCTCTCACCTCATGTTACTTCAGATCAGGGAGGTCACAAATGAATGGGAAAGCAGGTCTTGGGGGTGTTTTTGGTGACTTTATCCCCAGGAGCCAGGCTAGGGCGACAGGCTTGGGAAGTTCTGCATCTTCAATGCTCTCCCTAGCAGCAGCTCTGTCCCCGTTCCTGTCACCCACCAGGAGGCTCTCCCTTGGGGCACCTCATTTCTAGCTCTGGGCCACCAGGGAAGTCCAGCCTCCTCTCCTTAAGTCATTTCCAGACCACACAGGAGGAAATAACTTTTGGCTGGGGGACTGGGCTCTCCCAGAATTGTTCCTTTGTCTGCGGATTCCTCCCTGTTTAGCTCACAAAGGAAATGGTTCCAGGAGGAAGTGGAAAACCAGTGACACACTGGCTCAGCTTTCCCTGCTGCAAGATGGCAGCTGCTTCCTTTTGGGCGGCCTGCACCATCTCCTTCACCAAGCCTGGGGAACCAGAGCAGTCCCAGGGGTGGTCTGGGATACCTGTCAATAAAAGCAGGTAGGAATTGCAAGCTCCTAAGTGATCATCAGATGTTGTACTAAGCATTTTGCATGAATTACCTCATTTAATTCTCCTAATGAGCCCACAAGATACCTTCTGTTTTTACCTGCTATTTTACACATAGACCAAGTGAAGTTCAGAGAGGCAGTCATTTGTGTAAAGGCACACAGCAAGCAGATTGAGATTCAAACCTAGACTTAACTCCAGAGGTTCAGCTTCCAATTGCTGCAATATAATACCTTCTAGCCTTTTTTTTTTTTTTATTGAATACTTCCTATATGAAGATACTGTGCCTGGCATTTTCATTTCTTTTTAAAAATTCCTGGGTGTGGTGGGACACACTTGTAATCCCAGAGACTCGGGAGGCTGAGGCAGGAGGATTACAAATGCAAGGCCAACTTCATCAACTTAGTGAGACCCTGTCTCAAAATAAAAGATAAAAATAAAAAGCGCTGGGGATGTGGCTCAGTGGTAAAAGCCCTTTGGGTTCAATTCAAAACTAAAAATTTCTTTTTTTTTTAAACTGAACCTCTGGGTTCAGTACAAAAACCAAACCAAAACAAAACAAAAAACACCCCCTCCCCCCAAAAAAACCCTAACTAAATAAAAATAAGGTCTCAGGTGGGCAAAATTGGACTTATCCCAATCTTTGCTTCACACGAAACACTCATCAGTGGCCCATGTGCCTCTCACTTTCATTTAGTTGCTGCAGAGCTCATCATGCCCCTCTGTCCCTCATATGTAGTTTTGCTGCAACTGCTGTGCTCCTGAAAACATGCATTTACAATTTTAGTTGTTAAATATACATTTAAAAATACATTTAAAAATTTTAGTTGTGCTGTGGCACATGCCCATAATCCCAGCGGCTCTGAAGGCTGAGGCAGGAGGATCATGAGTTCAAAGCCAGCCTCAGCAACAGCGAGGCACTAAGCAACTCAGTGAGAGTGTGTCTCTAAATAAAATATAAAATAAGGTGGGGGGTGTGGCTCAGTGGTCGAGTGCCCCTGAGTTCAATCCCCGGTACCAAAAAAAAAAAAAAAAATAGTTTTAAATATACATTAAATTTTGGTTGTTGTTGTTAAATTTTGGTTGTTGTCTCCAAAAAGAGGACAATGCTATAGGTAATGTTTTTTGACTTTTTCTTTTAATATGCTGCAAAGATTGATTCTTATTGCCACCTGTCCCTGTGTTCATTCCTCTGATTGTTGGATGTTACTCCATTGGGAGAAAATTCTCGGTGCCTAACACTCTGTGCCTATGCCCTCATTTATTCTCTGCAACAGCCGTGTGTAGAAGGAACTCTTCCCTGTTACTGACAGAAAACTGAGGCCCAGAAAGGTTAACTCTGATGCTGCTTCTTTTTTTGCAGTGCTGGGAATTGAACCCAGGGCCGTGTGCACACTAGGCAAATGCTCTGCCACTAAGCTCTCTTTCCAGCCCTTCAGAGAGGTTAATTGTGGACTGAGTGGGAATATTTCTGGCCTCCACTGTGTGCCATGTTTTGGGGGTAATGGAGAAAACATGGGCACTGGGGCCAGAATCCAGGGGCCCCAGCCCTGGCCACATGCTAATTGACCATGCAGCACTGGGCAGGTTGCTTCACATCTGGGACCCTCAGTTTCCTCAGAGTGGGGGATCGAGACTGCCCACTTACCTCTAGGCCTGTTGTGAGAACCAAGTCTGGCTGAGCCGGGTGATTTTAGAGCACCCTGCAGTTTTGTAAATCATCAACTGTGATTAATAGTAATTGCACCACTACTTGTTACCTCCAGCCTCCACTCCCAGCTGAACAACAGAAACTGCGGGACTGTGGGACTCAGGGAAGAGGCTGACCAGTACTCCATTCAGAAGGGTGCAAGATTAGGTGACAAGTCAGCTCACACAAGCCCTAGTGTGAAGGAACCAGAGAGCTCTGCAGATGCCTGAGGGTGCGCTAATGGGAACCTAGCATGAATCTAGCTTCGTTCTGTTCCATAATCTTAAAAAATGCTATTGAGGCTGGGATTGTGGCTCAGCGGTAGAGCACTCACCTAGCATGGGCGGGGCCCAGGTTTGATCCTCAGCACCACATAAAAAAATAAAGGTATTGGGCTAGGGTTGTGGCTCTGTGGTAGAGCCCTCGCCTAGCACGTGTGAAGTCCTGGATTCACGCCTCAGCACCACATAAAAATACTGTGTCCAACTATAACTAAAATATATATATATATATAAAGGTATTGTGTTGTCTCCATCTACACCTAAAAATTTAAAAATGCTATTATTATTATCATTGTTATGATTATTTAGTATTTCTGACATAATTTTCATTTATGTCTGAGACACCATCCCTGTGCTGTTTGTTCATGATGTTTTCTCTGAATGAGCTATTTCCCAACTCTCACCTCCTACTAGCTATGTGACCTTAAGCAAGTTACTTAACTTCTCTTTGTCTGTATTCTCACCTGTAAAATGGAGATGTTAGTAACACTGTTGTGTGAAGTTCTGCATAATGTGCAAATCAAATACTCATGCAAATCAAGCTATTATTATTATCTAAAATCCCCTTCACTCTCTACCTAGCACCCACTCATGCTCTTAGAGTTGGTTTAAATGCCACTTCCTCCAGGAGGCTGGTCCTGGATCCCTGAATAGGCAAGGTCACCCTGTTCAAGACTGCAGAGGTGCTGACTCGCTTCTTCTTTAAACTATGAGGTTAGGAGGGCAGGGACATTGCCTGACTTAGCAGGTACTATTGTGGCCCAACATCCAGCAGAGTAGTGGGTAAGCGGCAGGTGCGTTGGGAAGAAACCAGCCGCCAACCTTGAAATCAGAGGAAGGGCCACAGCTAGGCAGTGCCTTAGGACAACTGTCTCTGAGAACAGAAAAGGTATGGGGATGGGGAAAGGAAGGTGGAGCAGATTTGCTCCCTGGAGCATGGGGTGCCAGATGGCACCAGCTCCAGGACCACAGTATTTGGTTCAGTGTATGGAACTTCCTAGTCATCCCTACAAGGAAGAGAAGTAGATGTCCTAAGAGGAACTGAGCTGGGGGGACAGCCCCTGGCTGGGAGGAAGGCTGATAATGTCAGTAGAGTGGGTAATTGGTACAATGAGAACAGGGGTGAAAACACCTAAATCAAACCTTGGAATTGCCTCCTGCCACCCAGTGACTCCAGGCAGGTGATGCCCCCTGACCAAGTCTCGGTTCTCACTGTGACAGATAATAAATAAGAGCACTTTCCTCAGAAGGTTGTGAGCAGAAAGGGAGAGTGTCCCGCAGGGAACCGGGTACGTGTCAATCATGTTGTGAAGATTGGTTTCTCTGGGTGCTGTTGCAATCAGTGACCAACAGGGGTTGGGCCAGGTGTTCTAGGCGGGGTGTGAAGGGTTCAGCGGATTGGCCACCTTGACTGTCCACCTAGTTTGGAAGTCTTCCCTCCCTTCCCCCTTCCTGCAAAGCCTCTCAGTGCTGGATTTGGTTCTGGGCCAAGCCCTCAGGAATTCAGCCCATGGGGCTGCCTGGGGCAGGCATTGGGACACTGCTGAGGTTGGTTCTTGCCTCTACAGTTGGGCTTGTGAGGTGCAAGAGAAAGGTCCTCTTCCATGGGGATGGAAGAACGACCCTGGATGAATGTCTCCTCTGCTTTTCGACTCCACTAACAATTCTGCACAATAACCTCTATCTGGCTTTTCCTTTCTAGTTTTCCTCACCGCCTCCCTTAAATGGGGTTTTGTTCTGTTGCTGGTCTTAAACTCCTGGGTCCAAGGGTCCTCCCACCTCAGCCTCCTAGTAGCTGTGACTACAGGTGCTTGCCCCAAAGCCTGGCTGATTAACTCTACTTGAAATTGGAGGGTTGAAACCTTTACGTGGCTCTGCTCTTCAACATCAAGGTGAGCTAATCTTAGTCTAAGGATCTGCGTCAGCTCCTAAAGGGCCACTTCTGTCCAACCCCTACCCCATCCCCCTTTGCATTCTGATGTGAGCTCTCTGCTTGCTGGCTTTAACAATGGCCCCAAATTGCAGCACATCATAATCTCTTCCTGCTCACAGCTGGTCAACAGCTACCTGAGGCCCGGATGTCAGCTTTCCTTTGTGATACTGGTGACAAAGAGCTCACAGGCTCCCACTTCCTTATTCCCACTCTCTCTGTCATTCCATCTCTTCCCAGAGCGAGAGTGAAATGCTGCAGACATAACTTGGATTCCTCTCCAACTGATGAAGGAGCCAATCACTCACAAACGTGTATTTCAAGCATTCACTTTTTAAAAAGATCGAATACTTCTGAGAGCTGTCCCTGCCTGAATCCAGTCATCTCCCATGGGTAAATCAGAGATTGTTATCTCCATTTTTTGTGTGGATTTAACTGAGACTCCGTGGGTTAAGTGCAGAGTGGAAGGAGCAGCGCCAGGATCCCCCACCCCCTCTGCAACTGGAGACTGCAGCTGCAGCACTTGGTTCTGGGTCTGGCCTTATCTGCCTCTATTATTAGGTACCCATCACGGGCAGCCCAACCTCTAAGGACAGGGACACACCCGGTTGGGGACCTGGAGAATAGGCTCCTCTCTTTGGAAGGATCTGGAGGTCTCATTTCCACCTTCCTCGGTGCTCCAGGCCTGCTGCCCTGTTTTGCTGCCCTGTGCACTCTCTGGACTTTTCTTTTGTCCTCTCCCCATTTTTTTTTCCACCTAAAAGACCATCCCACAGTGTTCCTGAGGTTCTTGGCTACAAAGTGACCCTTGAGTCTTCTGGTTCTTTACATATTCTCTTTGATGGACACT